ACCACTAATCACGCTTGACTGCCTCAAGTTAAAAGTGCTTGTGGGAGTTTTTTACAAATGGTGGAAGATTAAATGTTTCTTTGTAAAACGCATGGTAAGCACATCTTGCTGTGTGCCTGATAAGATCAACACTTCAAAAAATTATAATTATTTTAAAGTAAATAAATATACAGAATTAATAATTTGATTGGTATCTTTCAGAGGCTCACCCTGATCTTCAGAATGTTGTAGGATCATCTTCTCCAAGGTAAATATCCTGGCCCGTCCTGTACATGGTTATTATGAAATGATGAGTAATTTCGCCCCTATCCTAGTTAATTATGCAGAGTTGCATTGGTCTTTCTGAACTAGAATAAGTTATAAAAAAAAAAAATGGTTCATTATTTGGTTCTTAAGATTCTTTTTTTGCTTCAGGTTCCTTGATGTGAAGTGGATATGAACTGGCTATGAAGTTAAGGTAAGTACAGCCACTTATATTTTATATACTATGAGAAGTATGATGTGAACTATGACAAGCATATATCTGAAACTTGATGTTAATACCATAATCTGATTTTCAAATTTTGAATATCTTTTTGAGTCCCTGCACTGAGACTTCCATCTAAAATATGCATTTATCTCCAGGTCTTTGGGTCTTGCTAAGATTCTCCCGTAAAGTGGCTGAAAGAAAAATAAAAGGTGGGTTTATTTTTTAAAATTTGGCCTGGTGTTCATTTTAATATGATGATTGTTCTCACAGACCTGTTCTGAAAGTGGTGTTGACACTGAACGGCCATCTGATCTTGTCATATTTTTTAGTTGCTTATAATTTGACCTGCACTCGGTTCTAAAACCACCTTCTCTTTTTAAGGTCTTGAGGTGTGATGCATTGGTCAACATGATGGGAATGAACCCTTATGTAAATGGTGAGTAAATTTATTTTTCCTATCCCCCCCTTCAAAACTAGTGTCATTTAGGTAAACCCTGTGCATTGTATCCAGGATCACTCCTGCATGGTGACTGTCTTTAGTTGTACAGGATAAGTCTTCATCTAACTTTGCTTCACTTTTATTTAAGTATTGAGTTTATATCCTCACTATTACACTAGTTCACTTTTCATGATGAATGTATACAGAACTGATTATTACTGATGTTATCAGTTACGGATCTACTGAGAAGGTTATGATACATATTCTGTGTCCTCTTGAGAGCAGAACTCTAATAAAGTTTTCCCATTTTCAGCACCCTTGAGCCTTCTGATAGACAGAACTCCTCCCAATGTAGTGGAGGACCAGGATGTATGGCGACTTGTCTAAGGAAGGGCACTGGCTTGCTCCTGAGTAGGGAGTTCCAGATGAAAGCCTAAGACTTAAGTTATGGAAATTAATTTATTTCAAGATCTTGCTGTACTTTTATACCAATAAATTAAATTTTATATTTCAAAATTTTGGAGTTTTAGTAAACCTAGACCTTACTTTTATCCATATTTCTAAAATAGATGTGAACCCAGGAATAATTCCTAAACAAGTCTAATTAAAGCTACCAGATCAAATGACCACATTCCCTGATTGTTACAACACCTACTTGCCCAACTTTCGATCAAGGGTTTAAACTGAGTACTCTTTATTTGAAAATCAATTCAGTAAGGTTAGAGCTGAATTTTGGTGTTTTTGGTAGTGTGAAGCACAAGTTAGTAATGGGGGGGAAAAAACAAATTCCAAGTAAAGTTTCAATAAATTTGACTTGTATGATGCCACTTGACATTAAAATCATTTGCACCTTAAGCATAACTTCAGACCTGTACACAAGTGAATGCAATGGCAAACCCCTGTGAATTACACCTCCCCCCCCCCCCCCCAACCCCTTGTTCATTGTTGGGGGAGGGGGTGGCTTAGGAGGCGAAGATGCACCCAATGCTGAGGAACTCCCCTGCCTTGGGACTTCGCCCTCGACTTATTTTGCATGCTTCTTCGTTTGTCCCTTCCCCAACCCCTTCTAAACTTGCACTGGAACCATCTGTATCTCCTCAGGAAACTGCCTTATCTATAACAAATTGGTCAGACTGGAGAATAGCTTGCCTGTTTCACGGGCTATCAGTACTGTGCTACTCAACTCTCCGAGGTCATCGTAAGAACCCCACAAATCTTGCCAAAGATACTATCCGTAGACATAACCTCTTGAATGTTTACATTGGAGTATCCCTCCCTTTGGCCATATCAACCTCTGTCAATGCCAAAACTGTTGGCGGTTAGAACATCCTGTCGAGCATTGCCGTTCCACAGCCAGATGCCCTCTGTGCCCAACCTGGGCATACTCAATCCAATTGCTCTAAAGAGTCCCACATGTGCTAACTGTGGCGGTCCCCCATGACCAAATTTGAGTCTGAGGTGGCAACTCTCATATTCACCCCCCCAATCCCTTGCCCGTTGTTGTCGTGGGGGGGCTTAGGAGGCGGAGACTGGGACCCAATGATGGGAACTCCCCAACCTTGGGACTCAGCCCTCGACTCAACTAATTATGCATGGCCTTTTTCCCTTCCCACTTTTGTTTCTATCCCTTCACCAAACCCTTCTGCTATCCACCTCCTAAGGTGTGAGAGCCGTGCTGAAAGGATGAAAGGCTGACTTAGTGCCAGTCCTGAACGGCCTGAGGGAACCATGGGCACGGTATTCCCCTGATTTAGTTCTAGCCCTTACCCCTCAAGGGGACCCTGAGGGGTGGACTGTTTTTATCCCCAACATCATCCAGGCTTACCATGGCCAATAATGAAAATCTATCTCCACTATTAGGGGCAATGAGGCTTGCCCCTTTATCAAATAGCCCCAACGAAGAAAACCCACCCGATTCCCAGACCCCAGGCTCTCCTTTGACCACGGCTCCGAACACTGTAATAAATACCCCTTCATCAATGCCTAATAGTACAATAGCCAACAACCAACCCTCAAGGAACATTTCCACTCTCCCAACAAGCTCAACTTCAACACCTCTACCCCCACAACCTCCAACATCAACCACTCCATCCTCCCTTATTACCTTACAGCCTTATTGCCCACCTCTCCGTAACACTACCTCCATCAACACTACTCCATCTTCGTCACGCCCCCGCCCCTCTACCACCCCTACAACAATCTTGAACACTCTCTTTAGTGCAGCCAAATGGGACCGATTTTTCGTGATCCCTCCCACAGCTCCCTACTCTGACAACACCCTTCTCTTCCAACAATGTCTACAAAAACAAGTAGGTAAAGTTTCTTTCCGTAGCCGACCCGACCGCTCCCGTCTTGTCACAGTAACATCAGAAAATCAAGCTATAACATTAGCAAAACTAACTGATTTATATGGTAACCCTATCCTTGCAGAACCCCATCCAACTCTCAATACTTGCACTGGAACCGTATCTATCTCCCCAGAAAACTGCCCAATCTATGACAAAGATTGGTCAGATTGTGGAGAAGACTTACTCGCCTGTCTCACAGACTACGATGCGACATCAGTACAATGTTACTCCATCCCTCCCAGAGGTCATCGTAAGAAACCCACTAACATCGCCAAAATTACCTTCCGTAGACATGACCTTCCCTTTAACGTCTACATAGGAGGAGAATCCCTCCCTGTCCGCCCATACCAACCTCCCCCACGTCAGTGCCAAAATTGCTGGCGTCTAGGACACCCAGCCAAACATTGCCGTTCCACAGCCAGATGTCCACTATGTGCCCAAACTGGCCATATCCGATCTAACTGCCCTGCAAACTCACGCACATGTGCCAACTGTGGCGGCCCCCATAATGTATTTTATAGGGGCTGTCCCACCTACAAATTTGAATCTGAGGTAGCAACTCTCAGATTCAGACTTGGACTCACACTGCGTGAAGCCAGACAGGAAGCACGACGACGTGGTTTCTCTCTTACTCCTTACTCCATTAATACAGCCCATTCTACCACTTCTACCACTTCTCCTAAACCCACCCCTCCTACATCTAACCCCCCCACTTCTACATCCTACCTTCCCCAATCAAACTCTTTTGCCATCCTAAACCCAGACACTCCCATCTCCACTACAGATACTCCAATCACCACTACAACCTTAACACCTTCCCCCCTCCCTCCTCGCACTACCCGAACCAGACAGAACAAACGTTCCACCCCCTCTTCCCCAACCACACAATCACCTCCACCAGAAACACCAGTCCTCTCCTCCCCCCCTCATAAGAAATCCTTTATCCCCCAAAACTCCCCAACCAACTCCACAGAAGAAACTATTGAAAACATTCAAGAATACATAATGAAAACTGACACTCAACCTACAACTTCTGATCCCTCCACACACCAAGTGACTGCCGATATCCATCCTCCACCTAACGATATCCCCCCTACACCCTATCCTCCTACCCCCTCCCAACACAGCCCATCCCCCCTGACTCCAACCCCACCCACATTAACCCTCCCACCATCCCCTCTATCCCTTCCACTCCCTCCTGGATACACACGTGAATCCCTTATGTCACAAGTATCCCCTTCCTCAGACCCTCCATCTCCTAATACCCATCCTGATAGTATGTCACAAATATCCCCTTCCTCAGACCCTCCATCTCCTAATACCCATCCTGATAGAACACCAACTCCCACACCTCTCCCATCTCAAACCTCTCAGTCCTTATCCCACCCTCTAGCTACTACCCCTTCAAATTCTCCAACACGTACTACAATCTATATCACTAAATCAACGAAAGTATAACTATCCTTCATTGGAATATTCGCGGTTTCCGCTCCCACAGACCTGACCTTCGTCATATCCTTTCCTCTTATAACCCATCTATTGTATGTCTCCAAGAAACCTTTCTCACACATCCTCCAATACCAATCCCCAATTACCATTTTGTCTCTTCCCCACATTCCCTTTATGTCTCGTCCATACTCATCAATCAGAAAACACCTTATGTCACACCTACCTTTCAAACCAATGTCCCTTGTACAGTTATTCGTATCTTCCTTCATCGTTGGATCACAGTGATTTCAGTCTACTTCTCCCCTTCCCACCCCATTGACTTTGTTGCTTTTGAAAATCTAATTTCCCAACTTCAACCACCTTTCCTCATAGTTGGTGACTTTAACTGCCGCCACACTCTTTGGGGTGATTCTATCACCAACTCCCGAGGCCGATCTCTAGAGCGCTTTCTCTCCACAGCTGACCTTACAATTCTAAATTCAGATCGCCCCACACACTTTGATACACGCACACAATCTTTTTCATGCATTGACCTCTCCCTATGCTCCCCTTCCCTTCACTTAGATTTCCACTGGTCAGTATTAGACCACTTTCCCTATAGTGACCACTTTCCAGTTCTCCTTTCTCCTACTTCATACGTACCACTTCCTAACTCCCCACGTTGGTGCTTTGATAGAGCCGACTGGCATACTTTCACTTCACTCTCTGCTATTCATAACCCTCCTTCCTCCCTCACCTCCATTTCAGAAATGATACAGTGTTTCACAACTACAGTCTTAAGAGCTGCACATACAGCTATCCCTCGAACCTCAAGACCATATACCTCTAAATGTGTTCCATGGTGGAATTCTGATTGCACTAAAGCACTTCGCTTAAAACGTGCAGCCTGGAACAGTTATCGCTACAAAAGAGGTACTCCAAATCAACTATCAGCCCTTATCTCCTTTAAAAGAGCATCTGCCTGTCTTCGGCGTACAATTCGGAATAGTAAAACAAATAGCTGGCGAAATTATGTTTCATCAATTACATCCTCTACATCTATCTCAAATGTTTGGCGCCGAATCCATAAACTATCAGGCAAACATCCCCCCCATCCTACCCCCGTCCTCCATATTCAAAATACCCTCATTTCTGAACCTCTCCAAGTCGCTAATGAACTGGGTGATTATTTCAGCCAGGTCAGTAGTGGTTCTCACCTCTCTCCACACTTCTCTTCTATCAAAACCACCAGAGAAAGTACCCCCATTACCTTCACCCCATCCTCCGCTGAGTCCTATAATGCTCCATTTTCTTCCTCTGAACTCATTGCTGCCCTACAATCGTGCCGCAACACTCATGAAGGCCCTGATGGTATTCACTACCGTATGCTTCGGCAACTCCCATCTTCCTCCTTATCCTTCCTATTAAAAATTTACAACCACATATGGACATCAGGAAATTTTCCTTCTAATTGGCGAGAAGCTCTTATCCTTCCCTTCCTGAAACCCAATAAATCGGGTACCCTCCCTCAAGACTATCGCCCCATCGCACTAACTAGCTGCTTATGCAAACTATTAGAGCGAATGGTGAACTTCCGCTTAATGTGGTATCTTGAATATCACAATCTCCTCTCTCCTTCCCAATTCGGTTTTCGCCGTGCCAGAAGCACAGCTGACCCCCTTGCTCATTTTGAGACATATATTACATCTGCATTTGCACGCCATGAATCTGTACTAGCTA